CATAGTCATTTCATATTATATGTAAATGTTATAAGATCGATATAGAATTTTTGTAAACAAAGTGTGCTTTAATACAATTTAAATTTTTATAAAATAAATTCAAATAATAAATTTAAATAAATAAAGTCCAAAGTTTCGTAAATTGTAAAAATCTTAGTCAATTACATTTCTTCTTTTTCGTTATAAGTATTATTTTAGCAAACCTAAAATTATTTTAATTTACCAGCTTAACTACAATTCTAAACTTCAATGGACTTTAATAAGTTTTTTGTGATAATTTCGATTATCGTGTTAACACTCAGCAATATATCATCTGCTTATCGTTTGCATGGAATTTGCACTATTTTAGCTACAGGTAGACTAGAATTTCTCTGTCAAACCTTATATCCAAAATCCCTTATTACAATTTATGGAAACAAATTAATTAAAGCATACGAACCTTATGCCGTATATCGTGTCGAAGATGAACCAAACCGATATTTCATTACTATGAAATTAAGCCAAATTCAGGCATTATTTTGCAATCATTTAACTGTTATAAACACCGATCGTTACAAATGTATCCATCCTGGTGGTGAATCAACTATAGATACACTTCCTGGAGATATACGATGTCTTGGAGTTCACTTTCGATTAGCAGACGAACTGCTTAAGCACTGTTTTAGTACGGTTTTAAGCCGTAAAGGTAATCAGACCAGTGTAGTTCCTAGCGCGTTTGTAGCTTTTCACTATCCCAATACAGATATGTATGAAGTCAATGTTAATGAAAATACAAAAAGTGGAAGGATATCTCCAAATTTTTCAATTTGGTTCTGCACAATTATTTTAATTTATTGTCAAAATATTATTAGTTAAAAAGTTTTATATTTCCAAATCACACAATATTAAAGGCTTAAATATACATAAAATATCTATAACGCGAAACATCCACAACAATTTTAGCTACTGATCCAATTTTCTTGATATGTAAATATATGAAGTAAAGAGACAACTGTATATATGCGTATATGTATATATATAACAGTAGGAATGTTGAGAAGTCTGCGCATGGCAACCATTATCATGTATTTGTTTATTTTAAAATAAAACTGCGATGAATTATTATTTTTAAATATTATAAGTTGTAATGCAATAATTTTTTCTTTATTATAATATGTAAGCAATTACTTTCTTAAAAAATAATTCTTTGTTGATAATCAAATTATTTTATTACATTTCTGCAGAGGCTCAAACGAAATAGCTGAAGTCCTTCGAAGCATACATACAAAGTCAAAAATATGATTGCCATTTTATCTGAGCAAATGATTAAATACGAAGTAAATCTCATTTATAATACGGGTGTATTAAGTAAATTCAACTGAATAGATAAAATGATAATGCGGGATATAGAACAGAAACAGATACGGTAAATAAATTAACACAAGTTCAACAGATTAAAAACTATTCAAATAAACGATTTCAAAGTATTTATGACGAACCAGTTGTCTTTATATAGGTCCTGTATAGGTCCTCTAAGCAGATGCTCTATGTTATAATTAAAATAATCTTTAATTCCAATAAAACACCTAGCTAAAAGGAAAATGCCTCGTAATGATATTTATTATGGAATATATATCATGCGTCTAACATAAGTTTTCATATCTATAATACTTTTCGAAGAATACTTGATGGAAATCATTTCATACTTTTGTAAGACATAGTTTGCTTTAATATAATTTGAATTTTTAAAAAAAAAATTTAACTTCAAATATTTGTAAATATAAAGTATTTAATTTGAAAACTCCAAGTCAGACTCGGACTTAGCGAACATAAAATTATTTCAATTTACTAACTTAACCAAAATTCTAAACTTCAATGGACTTTAATAAATTTTTTGTGATAATTTCGACTATCGTGCTAACACTCAACAATAAATCATCTGCGTTCCGTTTGTATGGAATTTGCACTATTTTAGCTAGAGGTAGACTTGAATTTCTCTGCCAATCTTTATATCCACCGAAACTTATTACAATTTTTTCAAATAATTTAATTACACCATGGGAACCTTATTCCGTATACCGTGTCGAAGATGAACCAAACCGATATTTCATTACTATGAAAGGAAGCCTAATTCAGTCCTTACAGTGTACTCATTTAACGGTTATAGACACCGATAGTTACACATGTGTGCATTCTGGTGGCGAATCAACTATATATACACTTCCTGGAGATATACGATGTCTTGGATTTAACTTTCGATTAGCAGACGAACTGCTTAAGCACTGTTTTAGTACGGTTTATAGCCATAAAGGTAATCAGACCAGTGTAGTTCCTAGCGCATTTGTAGCTTTTCACTACCCCAACACAGATATGTATGAAATCAAGGAGAATGCAAGAGGTGGAAGGATAACTCAAAATCTTTTAATTTGGGTCTGCACAATTATTTTAATTAATTTATTGTAAAAAGATTCTTAGGTACTACAGTTATAGACTAGTCGTAATCAATAAAAATCATAACATATGTTTTACCTAAAAATATCTATTGTTTTAGTATAAATTAACATCACAAATAATTACACGCATTATGGCACTATTGCAAATTGTTTATACAATCTTCATACATTTGTAACGACCTTTTCCTCATGGTCGTTGCTTATTTACTTCTCATATGCTCAGTCTCGCCAAAGTCGTCACAATGAATTTATAAATGGTGACCAATATATTCAAAGTTGTAATGTTTTTTATTTAAATTTCTTTATTTCTACTTTTATTAAGTATAGCTATTTCAAAATTTGTAATTTAAAAAATATATATATAAGAAAAAATAAAGTAAAATTAGAAAAATATATGTTTAAAAGAATAGAGATGACTTTTTAGGAATATTCAGTATAACCATGTTTGAGTGTCTTTGAAAGGTCTTCTTCCTTCAGGCCCTTGTGTTATATTTTTCTTTTCTTGTTTCTCTAAGAGAATTTGATAAGGACGTATATTTGTTAGAGAGCTTATTTTATATGTTGCAAGGAATTACTTCATACACCGGCGACGTGAGACCACCTGTCGTGCCTTAGTATTTCAATGCAATTATTCTTTCGTTTGGAGACTTTCCTTGTAGCAAGTGTCCTTTTGTGTATTACAAAGAATTACTTAAGATATCTTAGTATTTTCAATCCAATTATTCCTTTGTTTACAGATTTTCCTTATAGCAAGATAGCAAGTGTCCTTTTGTATATTACAAAGAATTACTGCCGACACAGTCGACGTGACACCACCTGTCGTGCCTTTTTTTTTCAATGCAATTATTCCTCCGTTTGGAGACTTTCCTTATAGCAAGTGTCCTTTTGTATATTTCAAAGAGTTGCTTCCGACACAGTCAACGTGATACCACCTGTCGTTTTTCAATACAATTATTCCTTCGTTTGGATACTTCTGTTATAGAAAGTACCCTTATATATCTTATTATTAGGAATTATTTCGGGCACAGTTGCCGTGAGACAACCTGTCGTGCCTTGATAATTCTATATTATTATTTCTTTGTGCACCAAGTGCTTAGCTGAACTTGATATTCTGAGGTGTATGTGCCTTAGAAGTTATATTGCAAATCACCTTCATAAGAAAAATGTGCGTTTTATATATCCAATCAGCCGAGCTTTTTGTGTAGCGTTTCAATTTTGTTTACTGTTGGTTTGGCGATCTTTGTTTATTTTTCCGTTATTTTCCGTTCCGTTGCTATCTCAACTAGCATGAGGTACTCATTATGCATTTCTACTTTCCTTTGCACTCTCTTCTTGCCATCTTCGAATAGCTACGCTTTTAACAATGCGTTTTAATTAAAAAAAATAATTTAATAAACCAAATTTATATAAAATAAATGTGGTGCGCTTTTTATTGTTTTAACAGATTAAAACAATTCGGTCAGTGTACTATAATCTAGGTCCAAAAGCCTTGCTAGCATATAGGGAACACCGTGTTACCTAAATTGAAATGATCAAGGTGGATTTGTATTAATGCCACTAGATGTACATACGTATGGAATGAAATACAGCGTCAGGCCAAAGCCTGTTTATCGGACTAATTGAGGAAGTGAATTGAATATATCGCCTATTATTATTAATATAAGTAATATAAAACATGTAAATTAATTTCATAATGAAATGATATAATAGGTAGGTAGGTTGGAGTGGCGGCCTTGTACCCCAAAAAGCTCATTTGAGCTCAAATGATGCCCCACTTTAGTACCACAGGAGTGACGTTGGTATGTACATACATTTAGATCAGTATAAATTCAACGTTGAACGAAGGTAACGACTCCCCCATTAGGTAAAGGAAAACCAACCTGACAGTTCTATAAACTTGGCTAAGTCCCTAACATTACAAAATGACAGTTCAGTCAGATCGGTAAGAAAAGGGGATCCTAGGATTTTTAGTCTTCTTCCAGCTAAGGAAGGACACATCCTCAGAGCCACAATCGCGACAAAAGTCATTAAAGGGAAGACCCAGTCTCATAGCATGCCTTCCTATTACACAGTGTCCCGTCAGCACAGATACCGTGGTGCTGAGCAGGTTCCGTCTTAGTTGAAGTAGCTGACTAGTTCTTTTCTTGTCTAAATTAAGCCAAGTCATCCTAGAAATCTGACATTGAGGTTCGTCAGCCCAGTATTGTTTGGCTATACTCAGGTATTTTTGTTTAATTGCCAGTTTAACTGTAGCAAGTGGAACGCCTATATATACCAAGTTAATGTTAGGGAGAAGAGCGCCTGCCTTGGTGAGGTCGACATAATACAAAGATTACTTTTAAATCATTTTTGACTAACTAGAATTTAAAATTATTTGATATTTAATCTCAAATAAATTTCAACTACTAAAAACTTTCCACTATTAATTGATATGATTAAACAAATTTGTTCTTTCAATTATTAAATAATACAGGGCAATAACATATGAATTAAGGTTTTTGTTTTAAATCGAATGTAGATTAGTTGTATTCAAAAAAATTTTAAGTTTGCATTTTTGTTATAATTTAAATTTAATCAAAATATTTAATTTGCATGAAATGTTTCCTTATATTATTTTCTACTCAATTCTAATCGCACTACCACATGAGATCCGTTTAAGACTTCAAAATTCCCAAATTGCATATAAAATGACCTCAATAATGTTGATCTCACAAAGTACTCAAATACAATTAACTTGGCCTGTAGACATACCATAACAAGAAATGAGAATGAGAGAGAGATAGTCCATCACATGTCCACGTTGTCTAAAATAAAACAACACTTACATTAAATCAGTTAATAAATTTTACCAAAAGCTTTCCATTATTTAATTCTCTATACAAACTTATTTTATAACTTATTTAATAGGTATGGTTTTCTAATGGGTGTTACCTACCTTTTATCTAACATTCATTTTATTTACTAAAAAAGTAAGTTTGCACTCTTGCAAAGATATGTTGATGTCATGAATTTGTATACAATACTCAGTAAAATTTATGACATAGTCAGACGACTTTAATTCATATTTTATTATGATTTTACTAGACTTTGTTGTAGAGCCGGTTTTGTCACTTTTATCTTTAAAATATTTTCAAGAACTTCTTCCGTAACTAAAATGAAACTAACTTTAATGAGAGCATCTCTCTAATAGTGACGTTTCTGTTTTACCTCTCATCACAACTTAACATATGAGCGACTTGGATAGTTCCAATCATGCATTAAAATGTTATATTTAGGAGCATCTCTGGTGGTGTCTAAATGCCCTTCAGTATTACTCGTCTATACAACATAAATGCATCAGATGAATTTAGTAAATGAAATTTATCAATATACTATATGCAATAATAATTACCCATAACATAAAGCAGATCTAACCAAAGTAATTATTTCTGGTTATCTCAGTTTGATAATTAGATGCGGGTACAATGCGATCTGGGTTTATGGGGAGTGTTTGAATTATAGTCCTTGAATTTAACATATCAAATGGATGCTCAGGCATTTTACTTTGATGAGTACTGGGTGGATTAAGTTGCTTATAGTATTCTGTTTGTCTTCTATGTGGGTACAATTCCGCCTGTTTAGAATGAGGAAGTTGATTTATATTCTATAAATGGAAAGAACGAAAAATCAATCATTTTTGTCTTCATTCACATATAAGATATTACTTTTCTAGGAAACATTTTCCAAACCTAGAAAGTTAAAAATTTTGAATAACGAAAAATAGAAAACCGAAAGAAATTTTGAAAAATGCGAAACCGAATTTTTTTAATATGTTATATAACAATTTTAAATTTTCATGTTAAGATAATTTTTAAGTAATTTTTTTTTATAGTAGAAAATTTGACATTTAAATATCAGGTATTATGTATCAATTAAAAAATAAGTAATACATTTCTGGGATGGATTCCGTCCATCATCAGTTAGAAGATAAATAAATAATAATAATTCTATTATAGGTAAAGTTTAGTGCCGGGCAGGATTAAGCCCCCCAGACACAAAGGAGTAAAAGTGCGCAATAGCACTAACTCAAATCACAACAACAACAAAATTATAATTAGATGTTTTAAATTTGTGTTAAACTTGATTAAACTTTTAACAAATCATTTTGATTTTGAAAATTAAATTTATGGCGATGATTGATTTTCACGTAAGAGAGTTTATGATTGTTCTTATATGGTTGCAAAAGGGTCGTGAGAATATTAATACTGAACAATATTTGAGTTGAACAAAATACTTGAATCAAAATCTTTACTGAAATTTATAGAATGGGGATTGAGGGAATTGAAAACATCAATTTAATTTGTTTTGATCGAGTATTTGAGCATTTTGGTAATTTTTAATGACCAATATTCAAAGAGCATTTTTTAAAGTTTTGAAAAAAAGATATCTGTAGTGAGACAATATATTCAACGGACAATGTCCTGCTAAAATTAATATTAGATGTTGTTCAGTATATTCAAACACTTCTTACGTCAACTTAGGGGTGCTATACACCTAGTAGGTTGTCCCACTAAATTCTTTAATTTTATTCTTCTCTTGTTATAAGTACATTGGTCTTTATAATGGTTTTTGCATTCTTCTGGTTTGACGTATAAGCAACGTTTTTATTCGCGGCATTGCAATGGGCCATTATTTGTAATGGTCATCAAGTGAGCTTTTGGGGCACAATCCCACCACTCCAATGGAGAAGTGCAGCTGTCTCTTATTCCCTTTTAAGTTTATCTGTCTGTTTATTACCTTTAGTTCCAGTAAATTTAGAACCGGAGCCTGCAGAATCAATATGTGATTGTTTAGGAGAAATATGTTCAGGTTTTTTCCATCAGAAATGTTTGATTTTATCTGATGGCATTTGAGTACTTTGATATATATTTAATATATATTTATGTATTTATGTATATTTAAAAAACTATTAAGTTAAATAAAGTAAAGTTAAGTAAAATCTATTAAATATTTTTGTGATGAAGAAAATAATTGCACAGAGATTAAATATATTTTTAATTAAAACTAAAAATAATTTTTTAATTATATATATATGTATAATATTACTTAATCTGAAATAATTTACTAAGAGTAATACTTATTTCAACGATTTTCATTTCTTGGCCTTAATTCTTTTAAAATAATGCTCTGAATAAAGGATTTTTATAATGATGGGAGGAATAAATCTTGCGAACATTTTTACATTCCTAAATACGTAAATAAAAATGAAATCAGGCAGAAAGAGGTAGGATTAAATTTTGTAACAATTGGAAAGAAACCAAAAAGAAATGGAATTTCCGTAGATAAAACGAAAATCGTTTCCTTTATTGCTTTTTTTTTTGAACATTTACTATAACAAATGGGGCCTATTAAAAAGCAAAGGAATTATGAATTGTTCCTACTTGCATAACTCCTCTTTCGTGACTCTTTCGGTAAAAAGTGGTTCATTTCCGTATCTTTTCGTTTTAAATTTATTTTTTACCTTTAAAATATTGGCATTTAACTTAATAATCCTTACACAAATGAATGTTTTCTCAACTGTTAAGATTAAATAAATAACAAAAGGACATTATTTACTTTTCGCAAGGATTTCAACCCAACAGTTTTCATCTTAAAAAACTTCAATGTAATTCCAACATGATTTTGGAATAAAACGAACTCTTGTCGAAGGACATTACTTGTATTTAGAACACAGTTTTAAGTTCGATTTTTTATAAACTTAGTATAAATAGTTTTTTATTTAATAAGACAAACTATATACAAATTCTATAATAATGGAAACACGTTGTAAGAGTTTTAATTATTTTCTAAGAAATATTAATTTACTCTACCTGCTAAAATATAAGTAATTGTCAATGCACACTACTTTTCCAATAATTAAGTTCAGGAAAATTATTTATAAAAGTTGACAAGTTGCCCAAAAGAATAAAATGAATAAATAAATAAATTAATTAATTTACACATACAAAATACAAACCTTAAGTCCACCTCGGGACGCACAGGAAGATATGCTAATCTACGGTTCGTCATCAGTTAGAAGATAAATAAATGATAAAGATGCTAGTATAGTTAAAGTTTAGTGTGGGGCAGGGATAAGCCCCCCAGTCACAAACTTCCATAACCGAAATCTCATTTTCCAAAAAAAAAATTCGACTTATGGTGACATCGAGTTAGATGACATTTTAAGATATTTATTTATTTGCAATCAAATACAGCACAGAAGTTATAGTGAAGTAAAATATTCAAAAATTAGAGTTCAGGATCTTAATTTTTTTCTTCTTTTCAGTAAAAAAGATTCCAATTTATTCAAAACCTTATACTGATCATCAGTTGTAGTAACATTCGTTTCCAAATAAAAATTCAGAATTTTAAATGAGTCTTCTATTTGATTTTTGGAAGGCTGATGAACAATTTCATCCACCGAACCCTCATCATCACTTTCCGTTGCGCATAAAATCGGATCTATTATAATGAGATATATACAGAGCTGTAATGCTTAATAATATTGTCATTTGTAGAAAAGCTTGATATACAAATTTGATTGTCAAGCTCAATATGATGTAATGATTAAAAGTAGCATTGGAAGTTATTTTATTTACTTTACTTTCACTTTACTTCTACACAATTCACGGTCTTCATCAATGTTATTCAAGAAAATTAAAAGAATATCGTCGTGTTTACCAGCGGCTGGCATTTACACAAAGAAGCACCATAAGAAAGAAAAAATTGAAACATTTGGTTTCGAAAAAAGGACTTCCCCTAACACCAAAATGGATTCATACTTAAAACAAAAATTCGACTTATAGAATGCACTTTCCCATATTCCTATTAGCACGTGACAATATTTTTATTCGAGTTATAGAGAAATTCGAGTTATAGAAGTTCGAGTTAAGAAAATAGATTTGTATGTAATTTGCGCTCTAAAACCCTGTTACACTCATTTTTATCCTATTCCTCATTTGACTATACATTGTGACCGAAAAGTTTTCGGAAATTCTCATTTAAAATTCGCGCGCTGTATATTTTTCGATATTTTAAGTTTTATGTAGTTTGGCAGCTCGTGTCCTTATTACTATGCCCAAAAATGAAGCGCGATCTGTCAGACAGTTTCGTTTACGGCAGCTGTTGAAACCAGTTCACTCAGTAGTGCGCGTTGCGAAAAAAAACAATGGAAAAAAATATTGATCAAAGAGTTTGCATCAAATTTTGTGTTTCGAACGAATTTTCGTGTGCAGAATCGTTGCGAATGCTACAAAAGGCTTATGGGGAATCAGTTTTATCGAAAACTCAAGTTTATGAGTGGTACAAAGCCTTTCAGGACTGTCGTACGACCGTCGAAGACATGCCGCGTTCTGGACGACCTTCGACCTCTACCACCGACGAAAACATTGAAAAGGCAAAGGAAATCGTGTTCAAAAATCCTCATGTGAGTGTTAGAGAGATAGCACGAGAGCTAGGCATCGGTCGTGAGATGGCTCGTTTGATTTTGGTGGACAATTTGTGTATGCGACGTGTCAACGCTCGGCTTTTTCCGATTCACCTCAATTTGTTCCAAAAACACCATCGTGGACAGGTCTCGTTAGACATGCTTGATCGTGCCAATTCCGATCCAACTTTCATGGAACGCATCATAACGGGTGACGAGACATGGGTCTACGAGTACGACATGCAAACAAGCCAACAATCATCGGAATGGAGAGGAAAAGACGAGCCGAAACCGAAAAAACCACGCCAAAGTCGCTCGAAAATCAAGGCAATGCTGATTGTTTTCTTCGATATTCGTGGTGTGGTGCATCATGAATTCGTCCCTGAAGGACAAACAGTCAATAAAGCCTATTATTTGACTGTTTTAAGACGTTTGCGTGAAAATATCCGCCGTAAACGGCCTCAATTGTGGAAGGATAATTCATGGATTTTTCATGACGATAATGCTCCCTCGCACCGAGCCAACATTATCAACGATTTTAAGGCCAAACATTCAATAAATACCATCGAACAGCCCCCGTATTCACCTGATCTTGCACCGTGTGACTTTTTCCTGTTTCCCAAACTCAAATTACCACTCAGAGGAACGCGTTTTGAATCCATAGAAGACGTAAAACAGAATTCGCAGAGGGAACTCAAAGCCATACCGGAAAGCGCCTATAAAAAATGTTTTGATGATTGGAAGAAACGTTGGCATTTGTGTATCGCTTCTAATGGAGCATATTTTGAAGGAGATAAAATAAATATTGATGAAGATTAAGAATTTTGCGTTTAAAATTTCCGGAAACTTTTCGGTCATAATGTATACATGATATGTCATGCTGAATATTTTTCTTTTTTTAAAACTGGGTTTGGGTCCTGAAGTAGTTAGGTAGCTCAATTTGCACAATTCTTTTTATTCAATAAAGAATATGAGATGATAGGAAAGAATATATACTGATATTATTTGTGTTGATATAACAAGTTATATTTAGTAAAAAAAATTGTTCATATTAAATACTTTTTTGGTACGTAAAAAAGAAATTTTTATTCTGAAGGACATAACATAAATTTATTATTATAAAATTAATTTTACAAAAGTATATTTCTGTTAAATATTTTTCACGTTCAATAGTCGCTTTTTATATGGAATTCATTAAAATATTTAGTGTTTAATATATTATTTTGCCATTCCATGACGTTTCATTACCAAATAAAAATACTTCTTTTTCCAAATATTCTAAATTGTTTAAAAATTTATTTTAAATACTTAAGCAATAAAAATAGTTTAAAAGTTTTTTTTAAAGTTTTTAGTAT